GTGTTACTTCTATGAACATGTATTTAGGGCTGACCACTTAGGACTGAATGACCTATCTGAGGGTTGGCCCACAGAGAAAACCGGTTCTCTCCGTCAGCAGCCACTGACTGCCTATAGCTCTTCATCTAGGGGTAGGGCCTTGTGAGATTTCCCTAATCACATTGGTGTTGTCATGAAGGTCTTTGTTTTGAGCATCCCTATTGTTGAGATTTCATGGGATACACACTTTTTAAGGATCTAACCAGACAACCTGTTTCCTTCTGTCTGGACAATGAATAAATTTGGAGAGACTCATTTACTCAAGGCCATGCTGCCAGAAAGCAAGCCTAGGACCCAGAATCAAATCCAGGTCACCCTGGCTCTAGGTTATTTAACACCAGAGTTTAGCAATCGTGACGCAATGCTAGCACTTTAAGTAGAAAAAGAAATGCCCACCTAGCTCCCTTGCAAGCTGGGAATCAAGAGAACACATACATTTTCTTTATTCACAAGAGCCTGTCTTTGCAAAGGTCAGAAACACCAGACTTCTCCCTGCACACTTCACTAGTTTCTTCTTGTCCTTTTCACAGGGCATTAACACGCTAATTGTTCCCCACTGTTGTCCAGACTTTATAGATGTTTTCTATACCCACAGTTTTCCTTTTATTCCCTTCTACTTTCTAGAAATAAAGGGTGCAGTGTGAAGTCAGTGGGAGACCAGTGTTTGATAACATTTTCTCAGCCACTTGTGAATTATTTTCTGGAGACAGGGTCTTTCGAAATAGACCAGACTGGCCTGTGATCTTCCCACCTCAGCTTGCCAAGTGTGCCATGGCACCTGGCCTTGTTTAGATTAAATACATATTTAAATTAATCTTGTTTAGATTAAATACATATTTATGGCACCCCTCTCGCAGCCATAAATGTCAGGAGGAAGCCAAATGCAGGCTTCCTGTTGTTCACAGTTCACTGTGTGGTACAGTAGTGTGGTCTAATGGTGAGTGTGCTAGACTTGGCAACAAAATGCCAGATTCAATCAAGTCAAGTGTTCCGGTCAAGAGTTACTTTGAGCAATGACCGACCTTCTTAGGGACTACTTCTTCATTTATAAAATGGGTAGAATACAACTTGTTTCACAGACTTTTATGATCATCAGATATTAAGACAGTTTACAAGCAAGATATTGTTAATGATGACCAGGGGCTATTTGGAAAGGAGTCTTGGGTTAAGGTTATATTTAATACCGTAGAGACCCACAGAACATACAAAGGAGGTACTAATGATGACTGGTTGGTCCTACAGTTAAGGGCTCCTAGGTCAAGGAGAATCAGCCTGTATCCACTTCCTCTTCCCTGATAGGCAGCTACTCTGCTAGAGGGCACTGGAGGCCTTACACCCACTGGTACCCTTTGTGCCTTTTTTTTTTTTGTTTGTTTCCATGAATAACTTTAAGAGGTAAACA